GCTCTGCCCAATTGTTTTTATTTATTTTTTCATTTTTAATAAAAAAAATTATTTAAATATTTGTATTTATTTTTGAATTTTCTTATTGTTTGACATTTAAAAAAAATTATTTTACATACTTATTTTTTTCATTCTTTTCACATAACTCGGAGGTACCGGGCAGAATAGCCGAGCCAAATGCCCCTATTCACTCACTGCCGTTCGGCCCCTATGAGAATAGGGGCAAATGGCAGCAAGTGAGCTGGCGGAGCTTTTTCAAATGCTGATTAAATCACTTACAATGGAGTCTTCCCTTGAAAGTTTTAGTATCCTGCAGAATCAGCTGGTCTCCTGAGCACTGGCCCTAATATCCAGCTTTAGGGTGGCTCCTTTCCCTTGCAGAGTCCTATGGAGCCACCCTTGTATGTGTTAGTCAGCTGTATGTGTTTCCACAAACACACAGACGTAGCAAGGCAAGCCTCTCCCCTGCTCCCTGCTTCTCCTTCCCTTATCTCTTTTCCCTAATCCCTCCTGACTTCTACAAGCTGGTAGATGGATAGTTGCTGAAGACTGCTCTGTCCCTTGTGAGCATGTACTGGACAGGAAGTTCAGGGAAGCTGAGCTGAGAGAATTGGAGCTGTTCAGAAACATGATGACTGTAATTATTTGGGCAAGAATGTAAAGAACTACTTTTCTGGGCAATGTAGATTTGTTTGATCTGGATTCATGATTGAAAAGAAGTTTGAGAGTTTAAAACTACTTTAAGAGGTCAAATAATGTATTTAGATTTTTGCCTGGAGTTCCACTAATTCCTAAGACCAGAAATATTGGTGATGTCATGAAATAAATTCCAAGAAATTAAAGTGCAATTGATTTGGTTTTATACAGTTGCAGTTTTTATAATCCATCTTTCCTGCTTTTGTAATAGACGCTTTGTATATTATTTGCTGTTCCATTTCATATAACATCAATAGGTGTAGGTCAATGTTATGTGCGATGTGCAGCGCTATTCTGAGATGTTTTTATGGAAGTCCTCTGTTTCCGAGGGCTACTTGGCTGTATCCAAATGGAAACGCGCAACAAAAATGTCCCAAAGTAGTACATGTACCTTTTCAGGCGTGGGAAATACGCCAAGGTGTGAACCAGACCCATTGAATACAATAGGATTTAGATGTTTGAGCGTTTTGTAGAGCGTTCGTCGAGCGTAGAACGCGCTACAAAACGTTCAGGTGTGAACGAGGCCTAGTGTTCTAGGTGGAATGAAATCTCCAGTCCTGAGGTCAGGTGTTGCCAGTGGTCAGGTGGCTGAGAGCAGCCTCATTAAGAGCCTAGACCAGAGCTCAAGGGAGAGTTGGTGGTGTGTGCTGGAGGCACACGAGGGTCAAGTCAAGCCAGTGGTGTGTGGGTGTGTGGGTGTGCAGGAGGCACATGGCCACAAGCAGACTTGGGTGCATGCTGTATGCATGTGGAACAGCCAGGGGAGGCTGGGGAACATTGGTGACCCAAGGGACCTGGTGGACACACTGCTGAGAGAGCAGTGTGAGTATCACACAGAGGTGTGCTAAAAATTGTATATGCTGAGGAAAAGCAGATTATTATAAGGAGCACATGAACTGTTCTGTTTCATTTATATTGAAGAGGAATAAAGATTGTCCTGTTTATGTTGAAGTTGGCTTCAAGACTGGTCCTTAAGCGCTCACCATTGGGCTATATTCCCCCAAAAATCACAAAATATATACCTTAGATTGTAAGCTCCTTGAGGGCAGGGACTGATGTAAACTCCACACGGTCTACAGTATATCTCTGTGGTGATGTTCATAATGGGGGCAGGCATGGAGAAGGGCAGTGGCATGGAATCGGCACGCTGTAAAATTGTGCTTGACCTCTTTTTGCTCTGTAGCCATATAGAACA